AGTTGTGGGTGCTGGGAAGGGGGGCAGGGGCCAGATCAAGGGTTCTAGCTGAATTGGGCTCAGTCCTTTGCCCGACTTGGGGTGCTGTGGATGCCGGGCTATGGGGGTGCAAGTGTTAGGCAGGAGGTGGTACTCTGGGAGGTGCCAGGCTCAGGGGTGCGTGGCCATGCCCGCCAGGCATTGCCCCTCCCGGCTTCCTGTCTCACTGACCTGCCTCAAACCCTCAGCCCTGTGGTTTATGACTCCAGAGTGGCCCCAGCTGTCCAGTGCTAGGCATAGACTTTCCACCATGGCATCCTAAAAGGCAGCAGCCCCAATGGGTCTGGTTGCCCATCCAGCGCCAGGATCGCTGCCCCTTCCATTGTCCAGGCATCACACGGGCTGCAGGCACCAGAGGCTGAATTCTGTGGTCACCGACCACGACCAGAAGGGACCACTGTGATCACCCCTGTATGACACAGGGCAGCACTGAGCAGGGAGGGTGGAAAATCCCATGTGAGTGGATGTCCCCGGAGTGTCCCCTGACCACTGCAGTTAGCACAGGCACAGAAATCCAGGCCCTGCTGCAATGGGCAGACTTGAAATGTGAGCAGAGGGGACTGCTTATTCTGCTCTCATAAAACCAAACACGGCAACAGACCTCCTTTAAAGCAAGGTGCAGAGCTCACCAGTGCATGATATTACTGTAGCAAGTAAGGAGCAAGCGGTTTAAAGGGGTAAATGCCCCGTGGGGCCAAGATGACATTTTCTGAGAGATATCCCAAAGGTTCTGGCTAAATAATTATTCTGAGAGCTTGAAGAAAATGACACCGTGAGAGTGTTTGATAATCCGTCTAGGATGTGCCACTGGCTTGTCCGTGCCACTTGGTGCGGAACAGCTGCTCTGCTGGGCCTGACAGGGCCTGAGTCCCTCCCTCTCCTTGCATTGCTAAAGCATGTATAGGGGAAGCCACCTGGGAGCTGCTGGAGGCCACTCCTCCCTCTCCTTGCATTGCTAAAGCATGTATAGGGGCAGCCACCTGGGAGCTGCTGGAGACCAACCCAGCCACAGGTCATTGCGTTCTCAGCCGGGGGTGCTGGCACACTGAGGCAGGCAGAGTTGTACCTGGGGCAGGGAGTCTGGGTGTCGTTTTCCCCTGCTTCACCCACCCTGGGGATCTGAGGGAAACTGAGGCTCCCCATGCTGCTGGCTGGCTGAAATGTGCCCATTGTGCAGTTGCCAGGAGGTGACGCGGGGTGACACTGGTAGCCCAGCCGAGCCCTGGGGCTCCATGGGGTGAGCTTCTTCTGTGGAACAGTGAAAACGAGAGCCGGGGCCTAGCAGTAATTTAGGGCTTGTCTGCCCTTTGCCCCCTGTTTAATCTGACTCCAAAAAGCGTCAATCGTTTTCCTAGAGGAGACCGAGACGACGCGCGGGGTTTATAAGGACCAGGGCTCCATTTCTGTGCCTTGGGACTCGACGGATGGGCTGGGCCGGGCCAGGGTCGCTTTCCTCTGGCGCTTGTCACAGCAGGGCCCGAGCCCCAGTTGCACACAAGGAGCACACCTGAGCAGAGCCGGGAACAGCAGGGGGCTGTGGGTGCATGTGGCGAAGAGGAGACCGAGACGACGCGCGGGGTTTATAAGGACCAGGGCTCCATTTCTGTGCCTTGGGACTCGACGGATGGGCTGGGCCGGGCCAGGGTCGCTTTCCTCTGGCGCTTGTCACAGCAGGGCCCGAGCCCCAGTTGCACACAAGGAGCACACCTGAGCAGAGCCGGGAACAGCAGGGGGCTGTGGGTGCATGTGGCGAGCGGGGAGGGGGGGGAACAACTACATGGGGAGCACTTTCAAAAATCTCTCTGGTACCCCAGCCAGGAGCATGGTTTGGTCCCTGTCTCAGGCAGGGCGCTGAGTGGCTAGGGCCTATTCCTAGTGCCCAGTGGGAGCCCTGGCTCCTCCTTTGGCCCTGCATGGCCTGGTGAGGGGAGGGCAGCAGGAAGGAATGCAGAAGCACTTCCTGGAGGAGGAACCAGCAGAGAGCACAGCACTGATGGGCTGGCCTCTGTCGGGTGCTGCTCGACAGCTTGGGGCCAGGCACCATCCACGGGCTGGGCACCTTGCTCCCCCTTGTCTGTGACTGTCTGAAACCCCGGCCAGATACTCCAGCTTTTTTAGGGGCCACTGTGGCACCCGGATGCCTTCTATCTGGGCCGGATTTGCCTGGCTTCAGCTTCCGGCCGTGGGATTGTGTTAGGCCTTTCTCTGCTAGATCAGCGCTTTGTTCCCCACATAGGGTTAGGAGCCACCCCTTCACCTTTCCTTTGTGAAGCTAAATACTACGTGCTCCTGCCGTCTCTCAGGCTGGCCTTCTGATTGGTCAAGTCATCCCCGTGGCTCTGCACTGACCCCTCTCCAGTTCATCTACACGTGTCTGGGTTCCTGGGTCTCTTAGCCCTGCACCCGTTCGCACAGCGCAGTGACTACAGCTGGATCTGCCTGGGATGCTGGGAGGGCTGTGGGCTGGCAGCTCCCTACCCAGCCCCATTGAATGAGAGGCCGACTAGCCCGGCCCTGGCTTGAGTATCTAGCCCTCCGCTGCCACCTGGCGTGCTGGGCCAGCTCAAGCAGCTGGAGTCTGTGTTGGACACGTGGGGCAGGGCTGGTGCCACCATGCAAGTGCCTGGCCCCCTTGCCAGGTAGCTATCTGCAGAGCGCATAGAGCGACAAGGGAGGAGATGGTGCCTCCTTCCCCCTCACCTCCCGCCCCCCACTGCCCTGGAGCAGCAGAGGTTGGAGCCAAGGATGGGGTTGGAGGGAGGCCCTGGGCCAGGTTGGAGATAGGGATATAAGAGGCTTACCAGGGCTTATCAGCCTGCTTACAAGGTAACCGGTTAACCAGCCTGGCCAGCTGGACCCAGAATGTGGTGATTAACCAGTTACACACAAGGGCTGTGTCTAGACTGGCCAGTTTTTCCGGAAAATCAGCCGCTTTTCCGGAAAAACTTGCCAGCTTGAATTTCCGCAAAAGCACTGACTTCCTACTGTAAGAAATCAGTGCTTTTTGTGGAAATACTATGCTGCTCCCATTCGGGCAAAAGTCCCTTTTGCGCAAAAGGGCCAGTGTAGACAGCTCAGATTTGTTTTCTGCAAAAAAGCCCCGATCGCAAAAATGGCCATCGGGGCTTTTTGGCGGAAAAGCTAGTGCTTTTGCGGAAAAGCGTCCGTGCCAATCTAGACGCTCTTTTCCGAAAATGCTTTTAACAAAAACTTTTCCGTTAAAAGCATTTTCGGAAAATCATGCCAGTGTAGACGTAGCCAAGGTTTACCCGGTTAACTATTTCAAGGGATTTTACATCTCTAGCTGGAGATGCATGGGGCGGCAGGGTGCTAGGAACTTGCTGGCGCACAGGGCGCTTTCTAACACTGCTGTGTCTGCCTGCAGCACCGATGGCATCGGCCGTCCCTCCGAACTTCTCCTGGGTGGTGCCCGGCAAGCTGGCAGGGCTGGCCATGCCGCGACTGCCCGCACACTATCAATACATGCACGAGCACGGCATCCGGCACCTGGTGTCGCTGAGTGAGCGCAGTCCCCCCTATCACGACACCTGCCCTGGCATCGTGGTCCATCGTCTTCGCATCCCTGACTTCTGCGCCCCCTCGCTGGAGCTGATCAAGCGCTTCCTGCAGATCACCGAGGACGCCAACGCCAAGGGAGAGGTCTGGTCCGTCTGCCCCCGTTCCCCCGGTGCAGTGTGATTGGCTGCTGGTCTGGGGTCACCAAGTGCCCCGTCTCCCCCTGTGCCCTTCCCTTTTTGCTGGAGTCCTGCAGCCTGCTGGGCCCCAACCCAACCCTCGAGAGCAGCGACGATCTGGCAGGTGGCCATGGGCTCAGGGGCTTTACTGGCCTTCCAGCCCCGCAGCCCCTCGTGGGAGCCACAGGTGGCTTGCTGATGTGGGTGGGGAGAGCCTCGCGGGCTGGATCTGGCTCGCAGGAGAGGGAAGCGGTTCCACGCGCTGCTGCTTCCCCTCTCCCTGGCTGGGGAACCACTTGCCTGGAGGCTTTCTCTGCTGCTCCCTTTGGCTAGAATCACAGCCAGTGCAGCAGCAGGCAGGAGCCAGGTAAGCACCCCCATCGCCCTCATGCCCAGACCCTGCACCCCTACCTCTCACCCCCCCTCCCACCAAGACCTTGCACCCCACCCTGCTCCTGCACCTTCCCTCCCAGACCCCCACCTCCACCCTGCTCCTGCTTCTGTATCCTCCCTCCCAGACT